TAACTGTAAATTCTATGCTAACAATTTCTTTTCTCGTACTTCTTGCTTGTGGAACTCCCTTCCGGTTCCATGCTTTCAAGCCAACTTTAATCTGCAAAAAGTGAAATGCAATGTCAATCGCTATCTATTTTCCTCCTGATCACTCTTTCCTCTTCCTGATCATTATTACTGTTTCTGTTCCTAATTCTTCTACGCCCTGTGGCCCTTTGCATCTTAGTGGCTTTACTGCCTTGAATGGAGAGTTACCGATTAAAAAAATGTTATTGAGTCGAGGTAGTCACACCCCCGCTCCAAATATATTGATTTGATTTCATATGAACGACAAAATTACTTTCAGTCTTCATGATGATAACAGATCTGTCACCTGCTCGTAATACCATGAAAATATTGTTTTAATATAACATGTAGAACATATTTTCTAGAAAATGAAAACTAAACACTTTAACAATGTTATTTAAGTGTTGAGAAATAAAAAATAAAAAAAGTGTCGACCGTATTTGGGACCATCGATCCTTTCCTTAGATGCATAGTATGTGCTTCGTCAGGGCTACATAGAGTTTTGAATACAGAGTTTTCCTTCTCCTAGACCGATTACCACCAAAGGCTGTAGAACCCAGTCCGTTCTGCTGGGGGATAAAAGATGGATTAATACATTTGCCAAGGGGATTAGCAAGTAGGTGAATGTAACGAATTCGACTGGAATAAAATGACCAACAATACATTTTTATATTAAAACTACTAGAAATACATATTTTATAAAGAAAATTACCAGAAATACATTTCATGATCTACAAACTATATATTAAAAAAATACCTGTTACCCTAAAAGTATAAAAATGCGTATAAAATGTTTAGATTTTGGCATTAACTAATCTATAGAGGTTGATATGCCGCTAAACAAAATCAGCCAATCAAACAACCAAAAAACATGTATATACACAAAAGCTGAGTATCATCTACTAGGTATTCAACTGTAAAAGCAGAATAACATATATTTGTATTACTTCAAAGCCTCCAAAGAAATTAAATTTCGGCATTAATTGACCCATAAGGAGTTGATACGCCATTAAACAAACAAATGAATGAATATGAAAAGAAATAAAAAATATTTCGAAAAAATTGTAGAGATATCATTCAGAATTAAATAAAGTTGACAATAACTAATCGGTAAAGTCGTGAATCGTACGAATTCTTACCCTTGAAAACTGAATAACTAAGATTCATTTTCTTCTATATGCCGTGTCCCTTCAGGACATTGGCAATCATGGATCTAATCAATTTCTTCTCCTTTGTAGCTCTTAGTAAACTTTGTCTTTTTGTTATCTCTCTTAAACCTTGTTCCATCATTCATTTACTCAAGCTCTTTCTTCTTCTTTCTGCTGCTGACTGTGAGGTCTTTTTAGATAGAGAGGGTGGGCAACGGAAGACCGCATATCTACCAATAAGACTGCGCTGTTTCATAAGTCAAAGACGACACAAGAATGGATAAGTTATAATTCCCACGATCACGTTATCCCAAACATATGGCCGCAGAGCTCGCCATAACTTAATCCGTTAGACTCCTACGTATGGAGCGCAGTCGAGAGGGAAATCAGTCAACGCCCCCAAAACACTATAAAATGTTTGACGTACGCTATAACGAGCACAATGTCCAAAATAGATAAAGCTCATCTGATTCAAGCATATCAAAGTTTGAAACTGCGTATTGAAGCAGTCGCCGATGTTAATAGCAGATTCATTATGAAGATGCGTCAAAAAGAGTCTCAAGATTATTGATACCTTTTTTTCAGAATGTTCTTCTTTCATGATTTATACGTCTTTTATTAAATTCATGCAAATGTCCTCAAAGAACTGAGCAAGGCTGCCTATGCCTATGTGTGCGTTGGGTGGTGGGGTGGAAGAGAGAGATTTGTCACATGTAAATCTAGGCTCATTTATAAAAACGCCTAAAATTCTGTTCGTAGCATGCTTTCTGGTACAACAAACAGTTTCAAGATAACTCGATCATCAAGTTTTTGGTGTCTGATGATAGTTGTCATGGTTTATACTTGAGCCTATACGCAAAAACTAGCAGGGTTTATACTTGAGTTTATTAGTAAACGTTGGTAGGGCTTATGTTTGAACCTACAAGTAAATTCAGAAGGTGGTCTCAAGGGTAGAGTTACCCCTGTACATGGGATGATGTCAGCATATTCTAAATCCCGACGACAGGGTAAATAGATAGACAGACAGACAGATAGTGTAAAAGTGCAACGACAGTATAAATTCAGATGCAAGATTTAGACGCACTCTATGACATAGTCTTTGTTTGTGTCTCCTTATCGGGTTGATTTTGTTACATGTAAGACGCACCCGACAGTCACCAAGCAAAGACTATAAATACCTGAGTGCTTCGCTTCTCACCCGCCTTATAAAGCAATGGATTAACTTTAACAAAATCATGGCTAATCCTCCAGTGCTCTTTATCCATATCCTAGTTTCACCTTCAAACGAAACGCCATGGTTGCGGAAACTAAGAAAATAACGTTGCTATGAAACATTCCTTTAACCCTTTCATTACCGGTCGCCACCATTCAAACTGCCGGTGACATTATTAGCCTTCATTACTGGTTAATGGGTCGACGATCCTGGAAGAAGATAACAACTTAAATAAAGCAGTTGACTAAATGGAACTGATAAAAATTAATTCAAAATCCTAAGAATAAAAACGAATAATTTAAATAAAATAACTTCGCCTATTATTATTGTAAGTAATAAAATGCACCCTACTTAAAAAAAAAAAAAAAAAAAAAAAAACAGTAGGTAAATTAATAACAAGTGTTCAATCGTGAATCGAAGGGAACTGCTTCTAGAATTAGTTCATCATTTAACAGGAGTAGATCGTCCGGTTCACACACCTCCCTAATCTTTTGAACCAGAGCAAAGGTTTATCCCTTTTTCCTGTTTAGGGTTGGGTTTCTGCTTCTTCTTCGTCTTTTCATTCTCTTTCACTTCCAGTTGCCCCTTGCATCTTAGCGCTTTGCTGAGATGAATTGATTAAAAATAAATTAAGGTGGCAAGGAATTAATTCAAAGAAACCCTAAGAATAACAACTAACAATTTAAAGAATATAACATTATTCTGTTAGATTTGCCTTTAATAAGCAATTATTCACCCTAATTGCAATTAACGGTAGATAAAGCAGTAACAAGAATTCAGTCATAGGGACCTGATTGTTCAATGAGACCCGATATGTACTTACCAAAATATTCTGATGAGATTGCATCACATTTTTAGTCAATGAGGATTATTCCATTTAATCAAGTGTTTTATTATTCAAGTTATTGTCCCCATCCAGGACCGTGTACACAGTAAACAGTAGTCATGACAATTGTTATTGCCTATCATTCATGGAGAATATATACCCATCATAACTGATGGCTACATTAGCGATCAAGTGGCAGTAAATCCTCTCAATTCCCCCAGTCTGTTTCTTAGTATTTTTTTATGTTTTTGGTTGTCTCGATAATTTTGATTCTTTTTCACATTTCTAGTTTTTAGTTTCCTTTTAGCTAGGCTGTCCCAGGTGCTCCAACAATGATGGAAACTACTGTCACCTTTTTGTGGGGGGTGAAGACAACAAGAATAAAACTAATAATAACCTCTCTTATTATTGCAGCAGATCAGCCTACGATAAGCAATTCTATTCAACTTAATTGCAATTAACCGAAGACAAAATACTAAAAAATAGTTAAATTATTGTGATCTGATTGTTCAACAAGTCAAAATATTCTGATGAGATTGTATCAATATTTTAGTCAATGAGGCTTATTCCATTTAAGTCAAGTGTTGAAGTCTTTGCCTTACCCCAGAACCATGAGCTTTGTAAACTATAGTCAAGTCATTTCCATTTATACACACATTAAATTATTTCTTGCATAAAATATTAGATAAAAACAATCACCTTTTCTTCATTTTAATGTCCATTCTGCTTAGAAAAATCTTAGTCAGCTTATTATTTCTACTAATAAATGAAACCAAAGAATTTACCATTACTATTATTTAATAGTAGTGATTCAAGTTCTTGCTACATCCACATAGTCGAATCACCCTCATTTCCTCCATATCCCAATTATATAGAGGAAGTTCTACTCAAACAGCTACTGTTACTTTGTTGAACAGTCTGCCATCTTAACCTATTTAATCGTTATCTGTCCCCCTTATCCTCACAATCTTCACTTCCTTCTACCTCTGCTTACATTCATATCACACATATTATTCAGTAAAAATCTACCATGATTGGCTCTCGAGCCTTATATTGGAAGAATTTTATTTAAAAAATACATCATGCCAAATAATGTAAATAAGGTAGATTTGAGGGGGTGCTGATAAATTGTCACCCGCTAAGAAGAATGACCTTGAGGTATGAAGCGTATATGTGATTGAACATTGTTTATCCCATGGTTCAACACACTTAGAATATTGTTTTGTTTTTTTTTTCTTTTTTAAAGTTCCTTTAACCGCTCACGTTAAACATGGACTGATTACCGTTTACTGGGCTTACAATCTTGGATGAAACAATTTGGATGAAAAAAAAAATGAAATTGTTAAACACACGTACAAGTCTGAGAGTTACGATGGCAATGTAGACATTCAAAGAAAGCCTAAGAATGACAACTATGATTTAAATAAGATAATCTCATCAGTTATCATGTTAGATTTAGCTTCAAAAAGCAATTATATTCAACCTAATTAAAATTAATGACTGATATGTTTTTTTTTATGGCTTATCAGGTTATTTAAAGCCAGAAAACATTTTAGATTGTTTTTTGAGATAATGATTTAGCAATACAAGTCTTAATAATTATTCTGTAGCTGGAGGGGAGAGAAGAGGTGGATTTATACTTTTCCCAAGGGTATTTGCGCGTAAGTGAATATAACGGACCCATATGGAATTAGAACTCGACTCTTCAATGAACAATTCCGAGCCATTATCCATTATACCACCCGCACATCCAAGTTTACAGCACCTGGTATTCCCAAGTGGTCACCTACCGAGGTACTGACTAGACATGACGTTGCTTAACTTCGATGATCGTACAGGAACCGGGGTTTCAACGAGATGTAACCGTCATCCTGAAAAGATTATGGTGTTCAAATGTGAGGACTATAATCTCGACTATGACGTCGAAAAATATTATTATTATTATTATTATTATTATTATTATTTCTGCACGTGCTTCAACTGATGTTTTCTCGTTGGAGTCCAAGTGGCAGCAAGTTTCCTCAAAACTTTATGACTTTCCTCAGCAACTTTAGAAATGCTGGTGTCTGGATGGTCTTATTTCTCCCCATGATCACTAGTTTCTTGATTGTGTTCCCAGTACTCTGATAACCATTGGCCTGAATGTCACCTAAACATTTCACAATTTTCTTGCAAGGTTCAGATATTTACCTAACTTTTACTTTTGAATTAATCGATGGTCTGAAGGAACGGCGAAATCCACTTTTTGACCCGTTTTTTTCTTATTGTTTCTAACCACCAGATCTGGTTATCTGTCTTGGAGTAAGTGATATGGTTGGAATCCCGGCAGTTTCCCTTCTACACAACAAATTCTCTATAGATTCAAACAGACTATCACGATATTAGTGCTAAAGTAAATGCAACAGACTAGACCGAAATATGAACTTAATTTGAATTAATGATGACTACTCGATGCAGATAAGTGATTGCCACATTAGTATGTAGGGGTGGCCAGGCTGCTATTAGGTTGATTTTTATTACCCTTGTTTCCCGTTAGCTATCCTTGATTACACATGAAGAAAATATAATCAATGCAGAATTTCTGCTGTATTTTAAAATTTTTCATTTGTCTATCTCACAAGATAATGTTATTAAACAAATAATAGGGTACCATTGAAAAGATTGGTAAACATGGACAAATGTGTCCGTCAGAAGACGTAGTGTCAAAAGAACGGTTTCTCCATGACATCGCTTTTTTAGCTACCTTTACTCTTAGTCAATGTTTATTGTTTATTGTAAGCAATGATTAGAATTGGAATAAAACCTAAACATATGATAAAAGTTCATTTTTGTTTTGTTCTTGAAAATTACAGCAAAAATAGTAAGCACTATATAGAACAGTGGCTCTCAACCTTTTTTACTCATGGACCACTTTTACTTTTAATTCTTTTGTATGGAAACCCATAACCATTCGATGAAAACCACCTTATTTTATTTTTTGCCAACAGATAAGTTTATGAATTGTATTATAGAAATAGTAAATGTATATGCTTTATTTTTTAACTAAATTCTAGGGAACATTTGAATAGGACTATTAAAATATTACCGAGTACCTCTAATTTGCTATTTTCTCTCTCTCTCTCTCTCTCTCTCTCTCTCTCTCTGTGTGTGTGTGTGGACCCCAGTAATGTTACATGAAACCACAGGGTCAATATGGACCCCTGCGGAGATTAGAGCAGTATCCATATATTAAGTAAGATGCAAACCTGTAATATTATATGCTCTTGTTTTCTTTTTTTTAATTTTTTGGGTAAACTACTTTTATATATGATTAAAAATAAATATTGTTTCCTTTTTGTATTCCTAATATTTTACTTTATCAGACGGTATCAACTTAGAAATATTCCCGAATATTTCTACAGAAAGAATCCATTTTTCTCTAGTCGGAATCACCGTAGGTCTTTTGCTAATCTAATAAATATTGTACCAAGCAACAATTTTGATATTTTTAATTGGGCCGGCAGAAACACCTTCCCGACCCACAAGCCAAGATTGATGGTGACGGTAACTACCCTTTATCAAAACTAGAGATGTCACTGACATTTACAGGATAGGACGTCGAAGTGCTGCCTCTATCGGGAGATGATGATGATGATGATGATGATGATGATGATGATGATGATAATTAATTAGGCCAACATTTTTCCAATGGCACAAAATAAACGATAATCCTCTTGATTTTATCTTAATCTCTTAAGCTGATATTTATCTAATCTGATGGCAGTAATCAGGCACTCAGCGAGGATCGAACTTGCTAGCAATAGCTTGTAAGACTAATCTACTAATAATGGTTGACAGTAGTGTACTAAATTCTGAAAAAAAAAACAAAAAAAACAGTTCACAATAATTCTTTGAGAAATGGATTCTGTCTAAAGACGGGTAGACATTTTGTTATATGGCTTGTGGGTGGGGCGATGATAATCTTGTCATCGGTTATTTTCTTATTACAATAGTTGATTTGGGATTATTTTTAAAAAAAATAACGACTGCTGGATGAAAAGTATCAGTTGTTTGAGATTCAGAAATAGAGTACGAGTGTCTAAATTAGCGATATATCTATCTGTCCACACGCACATATATATATATATATATATATATATATATATATATATATATATATATATATATATATATGCACGTTTCCTTGAATACCACAGACAAGGTGATTTGATTTAGTTTTTTATACAATTTCTCATGTGATCTTATAATTCTTTTCTTTTCGCTAGATAAATTATATAAAAATTGTCCAATTGTTCTTTTTTACCGAGCGCTTTTGGCTATACATTTAGCCATTTTCAAGGTTAAAATATATTAACTGTTAACAAGAAATAGATTGTTGTATGTGTGTATTTATATAATGTTTTCATTTTCAAAAGACGGTCAAAGAAGACTGAAACTTAAATTTTACACTAGTCATTACGTCAACAGGAAAATGATAAAGATAAAGACAAATTAATATTACTCCATCCAAACCTCAGAGATCTTCTCAAACTAGAAGGTCTAATAGATCATATTCCACGTAATAGAAATAAGAACATTCTAAGAAAACTCAAAATTGCTGCTAAAGAATTTAAAAAAACAACCCTAATATAGTCATCAGAAAAGCTGATAAATCCAATAATTTTGGATAAATTGGATTATCAAAAAAAATCTTCAGAACCTCATTGATGATCATTCTAAATTTTCTAAACTGAATAAGAACGCCACTGAACTTCAAAAGAAATATGTTAAACTCATAACATTCAACAATGCTGTTGCAGGATCCCTAAAATAAATAAAATTACTGGAGATTACCAAACTGGCTACTTATACAGTAATGTTAAAATACACAAACCGGGATAGCCATTACGACCTATTATTTAACAGATTCCAACATGCATATACCAACTATCAAAATTTTTCAATTATATTATTACCACATATCTTCCAACTAACTATAACATTAAATCTACCCATGAATTTATAGTAGGTTATCAGTTATAGTGAAGTGTAAGAGTGTTGAAACAGATTAGTTTGATTTGGCCTTGTTAGTTAGATAGCCCACGATAAGAGGGGTATAAATCAAGAAAATCAAATTGTAAAGTGAAACAAATTTATATACATATAAATCATTTAAGGTCTCTACAAATAAAATTAATGTATTTTGGTTGGTACAAGAACGTCAAAATGTTTGTAGTAGTCCTTGCAAGAATGAGTTTATGTATATGTAGGCAGGATGTATGTATGTATGTATGTATGAGCGTTATCGTAGGGTAGGAATGTTTTGAAGTAATCGCTCAGTCTAAAAATGTTCCGTTCGTTTATCAAGTATAAAAGAGGTGTGGTAGAAAGGTAGAGATAATAATAACGATCGCTTGACGTTTGTCAAGGGACGTGTTAAACGCTCGTCTCCTTCTCTCTGGTGACAGGCAAACTTGCTCGTCTTTTATTTTGTTTGTGGGGCTTGAAAAGGTCATTTGGGAATTCACGCCCGGATATGATTCAGGCTTTTCCATTGGACGACGAACAAACTTCGCGTCGGCTCGCGAAAAAGTCCGTAGAAGAATTTGTTTCTGAGAATTGAAGATTATTTGAATTTTGTTTTTAAATGTTTCCTAGTTTTATATTGGCCAAAAAACATTTCGCATCAAGGTGAGAAATTTCCCGAGTTTTGTTTTGGATTCGCTTTTGCAAAGTTTGTAATTTCGAGTCTTTTTAAATTCTAACAAAATCAATGAGTCAGTGTTTAGCATTTGAATTTTAAATCTAGATCTTTTTTTGTTCACTAAAAATTCAAGCAAATACTTAAAAGCACAAAAGTAAAAACAAACCAAGGCATTCTTGCGTCGTTTTACGTAGAGAATTTATTTTCTAACATTCCCGTCTCAGAAACTATTGATATTATCATTAATTCGGTGCATAAAAATAATTTAATTCCACTTCCAACAATCCAGCCCAATATTTTAAGAAAACTATTGCTCGCTTGCACCACTAGAATTCCTTTTTATAGCCAGAATGGTACTATTTACACACAAACTGATGGAGTAAGTATGTGAAAACATCTCGGACCGTGCTTTTCCAATTATTATATGTCCTACGTTAAAAACAAGGTTTTAGATGATATATTTATTTTAGCTGATAACAAAAAGGAAACTGAAATTCTGAAGACTACATTTCAACAAAATTCCGTTCTAAATTTTATTTATGAACTTAGTGAAAAAAGTAAACTCCCTTTCTTAGATGTTCTCATTGATTTTAGTAATAATACATTTACAACTTCCGTTTATAAAAAAGACAACTAGTAAAGATTCTTGCCATCTTAATTTCTCTAGTGAATGCCCTCATAGATATAAAATTAATAATATAATAAAAGTTATTAAATAATTCCTCAAGAGAGCACACGAGAATTCATCATTCACACAAAAGAATTAAATAACGTAAAACAAACGCTTATTAACAATGGATTTCCTAATCAATTGTTGGATTTTCATATTAAGCCTTTTCTGTCTAAGGTAGCTAATAGCAACGACGGGAATAGAAACATAAACAATAACATTAATAGTGTTTATAAAAATCAGATGCACGAAAATTACAAACAAGATGAAACTAGAATTAAGAACATTATAAAAAAATGCACAACACCAGTAGACAATAGCAAAAAAATAGACTAATTATTTATTACAAAAAATTTAAAACCGCCAACCTTGTAGTTACAAATAATAATTCACCACTTAGAACAAAATATTATTTACGAATTTAAATGTCCAATAAGGAATTGTATTCCTGATCAATCAAAATTCGTAAACAATTATAAAGGTTACACTACAACATGATTGACAAGAAGACTC